CCTCTGCATCTTATGACTCCTGTCATTCACTCTTGCTGTCAATTTTTCACTCCACAGACAAAATGATTCATCCAGCATACCAATTTGCTCCCGAACATCATTTTCCCTCACCCTCTCCATTGAACTAAAACCTGCAGTGCCCCAGTGGTCTGGCCAACCCACCTCTGCAACCTTATCTTATGCCCACCTTGCTCTTCCCAATCTAGCCGTGGCTACCTTCTTTCGGTTCCTTGTCCTCATGCTATTACCTGCCCCAGGGGCTTTGCCTATGCTTTTCTCTCTATGTGGAATACTTTCTTTTATCCTCTTTGCTTGATTAGCCCTCTATTCATTCTTTGGATCTTGATAGTCACTTCCCCAGTGATGTGCTCTCTCATTTCCTTGATCGAGTCCCATGGCATGCTCTTAAGGATGATGCATCTTTCATCTGTCGTTTTTACACTTGTGAGAATGTTTGCTTTACATCCACATCTGCCCGAGAACTGTGAGCTCTATGAAGCCATGGACTATGTGTGTTTTTTTCTTTTATGACATTCCTTAACTCAGATTTGGGTCCTCTCCACTCAGCCTTTTAAAGCATCTTTACTGTCAGAATACTCTCTGAATTGTGGGGAAGGGTAAACTGACTCTCCAGGGTCAGCGTCAGGCGCCAACGTTTGTCGGGGAGCCTTGAAGGCCCTAGTTTTCATGTGACTGTTGTATCCTACTCAAGATAATGTTTCTCTTCATAAATAAGATATTCCAATAAATAGGTATTCCAATAAAATTACCACCTCAGCATGCTGATGAAAAACTCCACAAAAAAAGTGAAGAAAAATGGTCTCTAGTGGATTTCTTTCTACCAGATTCTGCTGTTTTCCCAATTAGAATTTGGTGCTCCCCAAGAGAGCTTTTATTAAAACTCTGTTTCAAACAACTCCTGGGGAAAAGTTTCCACAGACCATTTTTGAAAAGATTGGTATGCTACCCTCTCCTGTGAGAATCCCGGATGCTGTTCACCATGTATTTCTGTCTCCACCTTCTGAGCGGGTGAAGTTGTGAAGTTTCAAGGCTAAACTTCAGGCTACCTTTGGGGTTGGCTGAGGCCACGTGACTGGTTCTGACCAATCAGGTGTGGGAGGAAACGGTAAGCTCCGCTTGTGGGGTAGGACACTTAAATGCTGGAGGAAGATCCTCACTTTTTAAAAGGAAAGACCTGTTCTGTCAACAACAACAACAACAACAACAACAACAAAACCCTAGAAATATTATATTCCTACAGGTTGTTGCTAAATTTGAAAAAAAAATGGAGGAAAAGAAAGAAACTAGAAGTGTTAGACATGATTGCTGGTTTTCTGGTCTGGGTCCCTTGGGAATGAGGATAAGCAAAAGACCCCTCTGACAAAGGGTGAACAGGTAACACGAGCAAGAAACTAGCCTTTGCTGTCATCGCAGTTTGGGTATTTTTTGCTATCGAAGCACAATTTACCCTAGCCTATTTAGAAATTGGTTCCAGGGTGGAGATGGAACTTGATGTGTGTATATTTCCATGTACATCAAGTAAGATCTAAGACTAAGATCTCTGAAATCCTGAGCACTCAGATAAACGTTTCCTCCTTTATAATTGTTCTGGATGGGTCCTTTTAGTCACAGCAGCAAAAAAGCTGACTAAAGCACATCCCTACCCTCTTTTCTTGTGGGTTAGCATCCATATATCAGAAAGAACATTCAGCTTTTGGTGTTTGGGGACTGGCTTCTTTCACTTAGCATGATAGTCTCTAGATCCATTCATTTACCAGCAAATGCCATAATTTCATTCTTCTTTATGGCTCAATAATATTCCATTGTATGTACACACACACACACACACACACATTTTCTTTATCCATTCATCTGTTGAAGGGCACCTAGTTTGGTTCCATAGTTTGGCTATCGTGAAATGAGCTGCTATAAACATTGATGTGGCTGTGTCACTGTAGTTTGCTGATTTTAAATACTTTGGGAGATGTTTTACATCATGAAGAGGAAACCGGTTTCTAAAGAGGGGTGCTAATTCTCAGACAGGAGTGAGATTCCTGAGGTACTCAAGGCTTCTCAGTTAGATACAAAACACTTACATTATCACCCAATGACCCATTCTTCTTCCGTCCTGTTGGCAAGATTTTTTGTGCAAGAGTTTGTGGGCCATCCTACTGAAAGCAAAAAGTACTTGGCTTACAGCATTCTTTTTGAGTTACAAGGCTATTTATTTGAAACAAGATAAATTCTTGTTTTGACTCTTGAATCCATGAATTGAACTCATGGTCAAGTCTATTCCCGTGAAAGTACAAAAGACTAAATCATGCATAAATATTACCCAACATCTAAGCAACAAAAATGGACTCTAAAATGTAACTGGAAAACATGAAAATGCAGAATGACCTTATATGGATTCTATATTCACCCATGTTCTCAGACTGCATGCAAAGTGTGAAGTTGAGGCTGCGAACAGGAAGGATTGAGGTGTGAAAGCAAGATCGGCCCTCCACGTAACACTGCAACTGACTCGGGGTGAATGGCTCCTTGGGCTGCATGTGGTGATATAGAAGCACATCCATTGCAAACTATGAAGCATTTCCCAGGGTTTGCACGTACTTGAACGCAATACTGTGTACATTTTGGTGTCCTAAAGCTATGTACCTCTTGCCATTGATTTGTGTTTAAGGCGAGGTTTGGCTAGCAGAGGCCAGAGGGAGCTTTGCCTCTGCAGGTAGGAGCCCTGATGATTCTGATCTGGTTATAAGGAGCCACTCAGGCTAAGTGGGGCTTGTTAGATGACTTGCCCAGAAGGGCTTGGTATTGCTTACAAAATGGATCATCAACAAATCCTTTAAAGATGGTTATAGTATTGGCTTACACCCCAGCATGTTCTTAAAATGACTTGAGGACAATTTCTTGAGCATCTGTAAATTCCAAGAATGGAAAATTAAAAAAAAAAAAAAAGAAAGAAAGCAAAGGGTTGGGAAATTTGTTTTTCACGTGTTCCCTAATTCAGACTGAAATATATTCCTTACTTTTCCAAATCTTACAGAAGACAATGGTAAAGATCATTTCAAGGAAAAATTACTACTTAGCTTTTGGGACTGCAGAAAATCTTGCGGATTCTAAAAGCTCCAATGTAATAAGACTTTAGCTGTAGTTGTTTGCTCTTTTGGTTGGCAGAATGCCATGTGAAGAACAGGTACCAACCTGAGAAAAGCATGGTGGAGAGGAAGCCCCGCACAGGAGAGAGGAGCCTCCACATCCAGACCTGCTTCTGCCCCTGATCAGTTATGTGGCTTCCGGCAAAGGGTGTCCCTTGTCTGGACCACAGTGTCCTCTTTCATTGGACACACAAACATAGGGCGCAGAGCCTGTGACAACAGCTCATTTGTTTAGTGCGTCTCTGGAAATCTGTCCTTCTGCGGCAATAGTGGTTTCATTTGCTGCTCACCATGGCCCAGTGGGTAGTTTGGATGTGCTTGTTGTCACCATCTCCATGTGACAGTCGTGCAGACACTCATATGCAGCTCCGGGGGCTGAGGATATGAGCAGACCCATAGTTTCTGACTTTCCCTCTTGACGTGATTATTTATACCAAATAGCCCTAGGTAGAAGGTTCTAGAAGAATCTTTAAAATATTAATTAAGGACATTTAGTCACTCTGCACCACCAATCCTCAGGAACTGTGGAAAGGGGAATCATCAGACAGGATAGGTGAAGTTCCCAGCTTCCTGAGATTTCATCTCCTGGTTTCCTGTGGAGCCCCCCCCCCCTAAGGTTTCACACATTAGTTCTGACAGCTCTGGTCTCCGCAGGTGCTTATAGTGACACCAGGCCTTGTGAGAGGTGTCTCCTGTCCTAGGTTGGGTGAGTCATTTTTCTTTCTGAAACAGCCTAATCTGAAAGCAATCTCCTTTGCTACTTGACTCGGTGTGAACGATAGCATCAGGGATCCTTTGAAACCCAGGAAGAGAAATATGTTTCATCGGCGCCATCATTCCAAACAGGCAACCTCAGATATTTCTCTAAGATGCCTTAGAGACCTAAAAGAAGATCCATGCTCAGATGCATAGTCCTTTAAGCGTGTTGGGCATATGAGTTTCTTGGAGGAGATTTACTTTTGGTGTCATTGGTCATGACAGGTAGCTACCTTTTTTTTCTAAATTGTGAGTTTTATGGTTCAAATCTCATAGGTGCTACGAGATATTTTAAAAAAATGTTTCTATGAGTGCATTATAGCTATTCATAATGTTGGGGTTCCTTTGGACATAGTCACTCGTGCATGGAATGTCATTTGTTCCCAGTACCTCCTTCCTTCCTCCCTCTCCTTCTTCCCTGCATCCTGTTCCCCCTCTTCTACTCCACTGGCCTTTCTCCCATCTATTTATTTTTTTAATAATTGGTATTTTATAGGTAGGTATGAATGAAGGTAGATTTTTAAAAAAAAAAATAATACGTGAATATCTTTCACATTTTTGCTTAAATATCCCTTCATCAAAGAATGCTCTCACCAACCGCATCCTGTGGATATTTGTAGAGATTTAACTGGTTGTTTGAATAAGCTCTAAGACCAGGAAGGGCCTAGTCTTGCCCACTCCTCCAGCATCTTCCTGATTCCAATGCCTTACTGCAAATACTTTGTTTCACAGGAGCAGATAATCTGCAGATCCACGTCACCCCAACCCCGGAGCCATTTCCTCATGGGAAGTTGTTACCAATTTCACCAACATGGCCTTTCTCGGAAGTCAAGTCTTCTTTGGCGGTGGACAGAATCAAGAACGTGCTGGAACAGTCCCCTGATAACACGAGCTTGCTGCAGTTAGCCCGGACACCTCCGCCCAGGGCGCACCGCAGGGCCAGGGCTCCCGTGGACTTCTCTCCTTCCCTTTACCAAGGAAGCGGACAGAGCGCCTCCCTGGAGCCCTCTAAAGATTCCAGCGAGTCCCTGGTCCAACCTCCAGGGGGAAGAGAAGCAGCGGACGTGTCAGGTTTGCCTCACGCCCGCATGCTTCCCCCGTGGTCCACAGTCCCATCGGTGACCTTGAGTGCCGTCCCCCCATCTCAGCGGCGGGTAGGGACTCCTTCCCTTTCGGAGCGTCCCCTGAGATCAGATATGTTCCCACTTCCTCCTCCACCTTCATCCTCTCCATTGACCTCCAACTCACCTCATTCCATCACCTCCTCTAAGCCAGCAGAGCGTCCCACCCCTGTGCCTTTGTTCCCCCAAATAGCTCCTCCCAACTCCTCCTCAGCTCAGACTGTGGCTAATGCCCTCAACCCAGCTTTTGACAAAATGAACCACATTCCATCCCCAAATGCCCAGGGTTCCATAGGTGTCCCTCATCTAAGTTTTTCTGGATCCTTAACAAAGCAGTACTCTGAACTGTCCCCCAAAGAGGGTCCCCACTCTTCAGGCTCACCCACACCTGGGGGTTTGAGCTCCATGGCAGAATTGGCCCGTCTGCCTCCCCCGACCCTAGCACCTGGAGGTCTTCCTCGGCTTCCAGGTGGGACCCCCTCATGGTCCATGATGGAAGTGGCTTCGAATCCTTCATCCACCCACCCAGTCCACACTGCGGGGGCTAAAAGAGCGCACAATGGGGTGTCTTTGCCAACTTTTAAGAGCACGGCAGCAGCGACCCAGGCGGCTGAGCTTTCATTGTTTCGGACTGCAGAATCAGTGACCATAGAGATGACCAGCAGAAAGCTAGCCCCTGCTACTACTGCAAGTGACCCTGCTAACCCACCACATTTGTCAGCAGATCCAGAGAATTCCAGAAGGCCTGCCCTTTCAACCGAACACACATCTTTGGTGCCTGCTCTGCTGCCTTTCACTCCTCTGGGTCAAGGGCAAGCCGTCCTTTCTGGGACAGTTCCCGCATCGCCATCAAATGGGAAAGGCAACCTTCCCTCCGTGATTGCCGTCCTTCAGCCTGCAGAAGAGCGGACCTTGCCATCCCTTGTACCTGAAATGCCCACACCTCAAGAAGGAGGCCATGACGGGGCCCCTCCCGCAGCCACAGACTTGTTCCTCTCAAGGAACCTTCCTGATCTTCTTTCCACAACTTGGACATCTCCCCTGCAGAAAGAGGTCAGCGTGACAGCCTTTTTAGGGAAAAATAAAAAGGCAAATGTAACTATTCTGAGCAAAGAAGTTCTGAGTCCTCGCACTGTCAATGGATTCCGCTCTGACTTTAGCTCCAATCCAATGTCATCTCCCGTCATTACAACATCAGGAACAAACCTCCTTCCTTCAGGGTCACCTCCAGCCTCCAGGCCCACCATTCAGACCACCCACATGGTTTTCCCATCTCCTGGCTTCGCCAGCACCAAGTTGGAGACTGACACAGCAGCTGGGGGCCATTCTGAATCGCCCGTTTCTGCTTCCAAGCAGGTGACAGCATCTCCCTCCTCCGCTGATGCTGATGATTTCTCAACAATGGGAGACATGAAAAAGCCAACAACCACAGATGTTTTCTGGAGTTCTCTTTCAGCAAAAACAGGAACCCTTTCCAGAGATTCCACAATATCTGGCTTGCAGCAGCAAACAAGTGATGGTCCAAATGGTCACACAATTAACTCCGCCAGTTGGGAAGTTCGTTCAGCTGCCACTTCTCTTCCCCGGGGTTTTACTTCAGCTGCCAAAGCAGTAAAATCTCAGAACATCAAAGATACTGCTGGGCAATCAGTGGCTGCAGAAGGTTTCAACTTCCAAGATCTGGTCCTTAGGACAAGCACCAACCAGCCTGTGCAGCAGTTGGATGTCACCTTGGCCGGAAATCATACAGACTTCTGGCCCACAAGCCATCACCACCATCCCAGAGACTTCCAAACAGCCAAGGTTGAATATTACCCATCCACAAGTCAACGTTCTGCCCAGTCAAGCCATCCTCTTTGGCTGACCTGGCCACGTCTATCTTCTACAACAAGCTTGCAGGACATGCTTTCCGATGGAACGGATACAGGGTCCCACATTTCCAGTGACATCTACCCATCACCCAGAATAAATACTTCCACGTCATTCCGGAGCAATCTTGGCCCTCAGTCAGCTGCTGAATCTCCTCCTCTATCCACCAGTGCCTTCCCCAGGACCCCCTCCAAAGTGCTGCAAGCTTCTCAGCACCCCAAGAAATGGACAGGTGCCACCACTAATGCAGGTAGTTTGTTTCTTGGTACCCAAAAAACAGGTATGACTGCTTTCGGGACCAAAGCATCCTCCAGCTCAACACCCAGCTTTGCTCTGAAGGCACATACCTCCCTTTCAGAAGTGAGAGTCAGCAGCCCAAGTAGACATGTAGTTGACCCTCTACCCATTTCATTTTTTTTTTATTTTTTTGAGAGTGTTCAGAATTTGTGCCCTTTTTACCAACCATGGCTTGGCTGTAAGCGGCATTCTCATTAGGGTTAATTACCTTAATGAGGCTAAGTTGTTTTGCTTGCCAGCCCAGAGAGCTGCCACTCTTCACCCCAGCTAACCCATAGGTTCCCTCCATTCATCATCAGAACAAATGGCGTGTGTATTCCCGGCCAGTGACGAGCTTTGCCTCTTCTCTCTTTACAGTGGACTCCTCGGTGTCATCCAAGGTAGAGCCAACAACAGCAGCAGCAGCAGCAGCCGCGGCCACATGGTTTCTGAGGAAGTCGAGTCCACAGGCGCTATCTGCGGCCCTGGTGGCCAAGGGCACCGGCAGCAGCGGCTTAACCAAGAGCGGTTCCACCACTGCTCTAGCTAAAAATGTCACCAACAAGGCAGCATCTGGCCCAAAGGCAACAGCAGGGGCGATCCATACAGCCCTCCCGTTCACGCCAACCTACATGTTTGCCAGAACAGCACACACCATGAGCACACACACAGCCATGCAGGGGGACACGGGTGCTGCCTCGGGCCTGTTGTCCACAACACACCTCCCCAGGAAGCCACAAGCCATGCACACAGGCCTCCCAAACCCCACCAAGCCAGAGACGCCGAGGGCATCCACCCCTCGCCCGCTGACGGTCACCGCAGCGTTGACCTCCATTACCGCATTAGTGAAGGCCACCCGCTTGCCCCCTTTGCAAGCAGAAAACACGGATGCTTCTCTCCCTGCTTCGTCCACTGCGGTGGTCACAACTGGCAAAACGGCGTCCAACCTGGAATGTCAGATGTCTGATAAACTCCTGGTGAAGACAGGTGAGAGGCCACTGTCCTTCTGGTTGGATTTGAAAGCCACAGCTTGGGCTCAGAGAGGTAGCAGGATTGTTTCTCTTTGAGATCAATGTTTCTCATCCGGGGTGACCTTGTCTTCCTTCCCTCAGGAGACATTTGGCCACATCTGGAGACATTTTCAGTTATCTGGGATATTGCTAAATACCCCACAATGCACTGGACAGCCCCAGACCAAAAAAAAAAAAAAGAATAATCCAGCCCAGAATATCAGTATGCTGAGGTTGACCAACCTTGATCTTCAACAAGTGTCAAAGGAGGGGAGGAGCATGAGGTGACATGGATTCTAGTTCTAGGATCAGTCCTGACACGAGAGGCCCCTGGGAAACCACAGAGTTTCCCGTAGGTCTAAGAATGCCAACGTGCATCGTGTTTTGCCTGCAGAGTGCATCAGGGATGTCTCGCATGAATAAATGATGTGATTTGTTTCATACAAAGTCTTGGAAAGGGCTGCAGAATTCAGAAAAGCTCTTTGTCATGTTTTCTTAATCAGCAGATACAAAAAGCGCAGCTACGGTTTACAAGGTGGGAGCCCCGGATTTATTTTTCATGTTTAAAGGGGAGAGTTTCTTGAAAAAGCTCTGCAGGCAGCCCTAGAACCGTGGGCAAAGCGGGATGCTGTCTTTTTAGCCCCAGTTCCCCGTGGTAGCAGAGCAGCCCTGGAATGCACAGGGTGCTTTTAATAGTGCGGTAGTGTCTGCTATAAAAAGCATTAGACAAATTATTTGAGAGAGCATGCCAATGCTGAATGCTCGCATCCCGCCTTCCTCCTCGCCCTGCAAAGAATTAAATGAAATTATATCTTGAGACATATCCTTTTCTAAAATGGGAAATCGTGAAACTAGGCCTAGCAGAAAGTACAGTATCTCTTTCTGCTTCTTAATAAATGATCCCATCTGGTTTTCCGCTCCCCCTCCCCACTCTCTCCAGACCCACGCCTTCTCCTCTGAGGGGCAGCCTCCCACCCCCATGGATCCTCTCCTCTCTCTTCCTTCCCTCCCCGCAGCCCCAGCCATGTCTAACCAGCCACCAGCTGCTTTCAGTTCTTCCTCCTGAAAAACCCCGTCTCTCATCCTGGTTCACACCACCACTTCCTGGGTTCACGCTGTCGTCCTCATTCACCGAAATTTCTGCAACACTAACCACCTTCCTCTCTCTGCCTGCAGAACCCCACCCTCCAATCTGCTTTGGAGTCTGCAGTCAAGGGAACCTTCTCAAATGCATTCCTTTGCTGAGAACTCCTCATTTCCTGTTGCCCTAAATTTGCACACTGAAGTATTTCACTTCTGTCCCTTGCATCTTTACACTTGGCGTTCCCTCTGCTGGTACTGGGTGGGGGCAGTCCCTCCCCTCCCCTAGCTCACTCCTATTATCCTTTGAGACTCAGCCAAAGCATCAGTTCCCATGGAAACCTTCCCTAATCCCAACCCCTTTTTCAACTCAGCGCTGGATGCTCCTCTCAGAAGCATCTAACAGCGTCCTGGGCTTCCCTTCCAATAGCACGTGTCACATTCAATCACAGATGCCTCTTCCCCGTCCTGCATCTCCATCCCTGTCTCCGTCCTTCCCGTTTCAGGGTTGTCTGGGGCTGCAGCATCCAGAGCAGGGCCCCGCCCCAGAGAGCCTGGCTTTCAAGGTCAGAGGCAACATGTGTCAGAGATGAAGTGCCACCAGCGTAATCTTTGTCTGTCAGGGCCACACAAATGGCTAAGACTTTCTTTCCTTCAAACTTTAGCAGGACCAACAAAGCCTCTGTCCCAGCCAATCCCCTCATTGGTGGGCCTTTGCTTCTCAGCTTTGTTCAGAATTTGTAGGAGATGGTGGCCAGAGGAGGGGAGGGCATGTTCATTATGAGGTTGGGACCTCACTCTGATTACCATGCTTGTTTCCTCCCTTAGTTCTCTTTATAACCCAAAGGAGAGGGCAGAGCCTTGAGTCCCTGAAGCTCAATGTAGCCAGAGGGCTCACGCAGGCATTGCGGAAGGCTTTCCACCAGAACGACGTCTCTGCTCACGTAAGCTCCTCACTTTGCACCCAGCTAACCTGTCTCCATCTGCCTCAGGGGTCCAGGTGTTGTTTAGATTGTCTTCATCCTCCCCCCAACACCCACATTTTCCAGAAGTGGAATCTTTCTTCATTTTGGTAAATGACTGTGGCTGGAGATGGGAAACTGAGACTAATTGCCTATTTTTTGTTTTTTTTTTTTTAAAAAAAGCCTGGATATATTGTTTTAAACGGTTCCATTTTCCCATTGTGTAGGGAGAGCATTTAATATTGTCTGTATAATTTTCCAGAAACCATCCATTGCTTTTTCTTTTATCTTTCACACCATTTTAAATAGTGATTTATTTCTGGACATTTAAAAATCATTCTGACTTGTAAATTGAGTCCAACTTTGCTAAAATTGCCAGCAGCACACAGGGAAGTAAACATTTCCACCACCCCGCCCCCCGAACACTTCAATGCCAAGTACTGTTTAACAACTGCTGGCTGATTTGGGTGGCATGTCCAAGTGATGGAAGCTTTGTTTCACACTCTTTTGGTTTGACTCCAAGTGTTAGAGCAGTAAATGTGATTGGCAGTCAGTGGACTCCCTTTTATACCACTTAGAAATATTGTTCCGGCTTCTTCCTTTGATGTTCTGATCTACAGCTGTGTTCAGCTCAGTGGTCCCCTCTCCGCCCACCACACCAAGGACTAGCAATGGGTTTGGCACATAGTTTATGGGTCCTTGTCAGTCTCTCTTCTACAATTCTACAGAAGAAAGAGAGAGATAAAGAGGGGGGGGGAGAGAGAAAGAAAGATGGACAGGAAGAGAAGGAGGGAGGAAGGGAGGGGAAAAAAAAAGGAAAGAAACAATAGAAACATACTCCATGGGATGGTTGTGTGGTTTCTACTCCAGAAATTTTACTTGACCATTGAAATGTGAATGTTCCCATTTAGTCGCCTGATGAGGTTTTCAATAAACTTCAGCCGTTCTCCAACTACCCACACAGCTTTCGTCTTTTCTGCACCTCCCCTCAGACCTAAATTGGTTCACTTTAAATTTGTTTCTTTCAGTTCTTTAAATATATTTTTGTTAGTTCTAATTGATTATACACAATAGTGGAATGCATTTTGACACATCATATATAAATGGAGTATAACTTCTCATTCTTCTGTTTGTACATGATGTAGAGTTAACAGAGGTTGTGTAATCATATATGCACACAGGGTAATAATGTCTGATTCATTCAACTATCATTCTTATCCCCATGCCCCCTCCCCTCCCTTTACTATCCCCTGTCTCGTCCAAAATACCTCTATTCTCTCTCCCTCCTTGTGAATTAGCATCCTCATATGAGAGAAAACATTTGGCCTTTGGTTCTTTGGGTTTGGCTTATTTTGCTTAGCATGACATTCTCCAGTTCCATCCATTTACCAGCAAATGCCATAATTTCACTCTTCTTTAAGGCTAAGTTCACTTCAAATTTTTTAAAACTATTTTTTAGTTGTAGATGACCACAATACCTTTTTGTTTTATGTATTTATTTTTACATGGTGCTGAGGATTGAACCCAGTGCTTCACGTGTGCTAGGCAAGTGCACAGCTGAGCTACAACCCCATCCCTCACTTTAAACATTTTAAATGCATTTCTTTTGAAAAGATATTTACTATTACCACCAAACGTGGAAATAAGGATCATTTGCCACAAATAAAAGATAGTGGCAAAATGAGAATCATGGGACCCAAACAGCTTGTTAAATCGGACGCTATTCCTCATGTCTCTTTGTTTGTTTAAGAGAAGAACTAGCAAGGGTCAGGGAGGTGTTGAAAGCAAATCGTTCCTGACCTGGCTTTGGCTTGTTCTTTGAGCTAACTAGAAGGGTTGAAAGGGGAGTGGTTCTCTCATTGGGTGAGTTGGCTGTCATTTCAGCCTGTTTATGGTCTGCCCTGAAGCTTCTCTTGTTCCACCTATAATCATCTTTTTTGTTAATTTATTTATTAATTAGGTATATATGACAGTAGAATGCATTTTGATTTATTGTACCAACTACAGCACAACCTTTTATTTCAGTGGTTGTGTATGATATAGCGTCACACAATATGTGCAGTCATACATGTACCTAAGGTAATGATGTCCATCTCATTCTATCATCTTTTACACCATCTTTAGTAAAGAACCAATGATAATGCACCTTGGAGGGACCAAACCACACTCATCCTGTTGCAAAATCCATTACTTTGTTTTTTTTTGGTAAACACACATGACACTTTTTATTTTTATCTTTTTTTGTGTGTGTGTGGTGCTGGAGCTTGAACCCTGGACTTCATGCATGCCAGGCAAGCTCTCTACCACTGAGCCATGTCCCCCACTAGTCCCATATGACTCTTCTGGTGGATATGCAAGAATGAGGGGGAAAGCAGGCCTTGAAAACACCCTGACATGAGAGGTTCTGTTTTACAAGATGAAAAGAGTTCTGGAGATGGGTGGTGGTGCTGCGTACCCATTATATATGTTTTTAATACCATTGAACTGTACAGCTAAAGACAGTTAATAAGGTAGATGGTATGAGATGTGTACTTTGCCACAGTAAAAAAAAAATGGAGACACTCTGCAAGTGCTCACTAAGGAAAGGTCCCATGAGTGAGCACACAGTGAGAAGGCAGCTGTCTGCAGAGTGGGAAAGAGTCCTCCCCAGAACCTGACCATGCTGGCCAACTATGGTCTCAGACTTCCAGCCCCCAGAACTATGAGATAATAAAATTCTTTTGTTTAAGGAAAAAAAACCCCACCAATCAACAAACAAACAAACAAACAAAAAAACACTGGGGATATAATTCAGCAATAGAGTACTTGCCTATCATGCATAAGGCCCTGGGTTCCATCACCAGCACCACCAAATAAATAAATAAATAAATGGGGGAAAGAGTAGGTTATGAAGCAATATCTAGAATGTATGCGTATATGTATATACATGCATATATTTATATGTGTGAAATATACATGTATTACTAGGGGGACTGAAAGGAAATAAACTTAGAAGTTGTTGTATAATTATATTACAGTGATGGTGGATATATTAGAGGCAATTGTTATTCTGTCTTCCAGAAATGCTGATTGTCTAACAAGCATTATATTTATATATATAAAGAACTAAAAACACTCAGAACTCTTAATATAAACATCAAAAAAGGAAAACAAAATAAGAATAAATTCTGAAGCCTCCAAATGTTCCTGTTGAGATAGAAAGAGCTCAGGTCATTGGGTGTCCCTTGACTCAGCTGTGAGACAAGGTCTCTGTGACTTGTCTGTGCCCTGGCCTTGAACCAGTGTCCCAGCCAAAGATAGAGCCAAGTCTGAACAAGCCAAGTCTCTCTGCTTCTAGATTAAGGAATTTACTTTGTTTACTTCTTGACCCGTCTCCTGAAGATGCCCCACTTAATTTATCATTTCTGCCTTTTAATTTTAACAAGTGAAGAGAAACATAATAAAACTGTTTTCCCCAGCATCCCATTCACTGGAAATTTTATCTGTCCATTATCTCTTCTCTTCCTTTCAGGTAATAATGAATGCTCACAGGATTATACTGAGGCACTTCAAAATACACAAAAGCAGATTTAAGGACTGGGGATGTGGCTCAAGTGGTAGCGTGCTCGCCTGGCATGCACACGACCCTGGGTTCGAATCTCAGCACCACATACAAATAAAGATGTTGTGTCTGCCGAAAAAAAACTATAAAAAAAATAAATATTAAAAATTCTCTCTCTCTCTTAAAAAAAAGTGATAACCTTCATTTTTTTTTAAAAAAAAAGCAGACTTAATTCAGTCCCGTGTCGATTTGTTGTAAATTTTATTTTGATGTATTGTCATACTTCTGCTTTAATCCGTGCATGATGTACAAGAGGGTTAGAATGTTTGTGGAAGGAGAAAATCCTATTCCCCTGCCTTGCTAAGTAACAGTTGTGGTTCTCAGAAGCACTAAGAACTTAAAGTACTGCGGAAATAAACAGTGAGTTCTGGGGGGTCCATTTGTTTTGTAGGTGGACATTCTGGAACATTCTCACAACATCACAGTTGGTTATTATGCTACCAAAGGAAGGTTGGTATACTTGCCTGCTGTTGTGATAGAAATGCTGGGTGTTTATGGAGTCAGCAACGTCACTGCAGATCTGAAGCAACATACCCCAAACTTACAGTCTGTGGCCGTCCTTGCCTCCTCATGGAAGCCCCAGCCTGCAGGCTACTTCCAGCTGAAAACAGGCAAGTAACTCAGAAGGAAAGGATTCCTATGCAGTCTAAGGTCAGGGGCGGTACTGAGTGGATACCTGTCTAAAAACTCCATTGCCGTTTTATATTAATTTTCTCATGTGATGCTTCCTTGAGTTTTTCTAATACACTTACTATTTTAAAAATTCAAACTAGAATCTACTATGTAAAATGTATCAAATGTCTCTGCCATCTTTTAAAGTCTCTGTGTACCTTCTTTAAAGTGTCCTGCTAATCAAATGTCCAAGTGCCCAACTCATCAGCCTAAACTTTTCTAACCTGAGGTTTGTTAGAAATGTCCCATATTAGGAGCTTTTCTTCCCAACTTATAATTAGTACATATGAGCACTGAGTACCATATTGCTTTTTTTTCCTGTATTACCAGTGGACACCAATAAAACTTGAGTCTCCATAAAATCTGTAGTTTGGAGCTGTAGATCCCAAATATCACTGAATCAGAATCTCTGAGCTTAGACCTTGGATTCTTTGTTTCTTTCAAGCTCCCTGGTGATTTCTGATTTGCAACGTTTGTAAACCACAAGAGTGGAGAAACCATTGAAATGGAAACAATCAACTTAGTAATGGAGGTCGATTGATTTTTTTTTTCTGTCCCTTCAAAGAAATAGAAGTCATGATCTCTCTTAGGTTATTATTTGTTGGTCTTTGAGCAGACATGTGTATATTCCATCCAAATAAAATCACAACGTCTTTTGCATTGGAGGGACTCTCAGGTTAGATCATGCTTTAAATTTGTTCTTTGTTACAAGTCACTTTCAAAATCAAACCTTGTCTGGTCTAACTGTTTATTTGCCTAATTTCTCTAACCTGAAATCATACTGTTTTAGATGACGGTTGCTACTAGGAGCTATTAGGTATCCACTCAGAGGAACTGAGATGTAAAGCTTTGGTGAGTGCTGATTTCTCATTCTCATTCTAGTGCTACAGTTTGTGAGCCAGTCAGATAACATACATTCCTGCAAGTTTGCTCAGACCATGGAGCAGCGGCTGCAGAAGGCATTCCAGGATGCTGAGAGGAAGGTCCTGAATACCAAAAGCAACCTGATGGTTCAGGTAGGGAGGAGGGGTTTTAGGCTGTGTAGTTGACCATCAAAATACAAATGTTGGTAAGGAATGACTTGGGTCCCCTATTTCTT